TCTTCGACAGAGACCTGAGGATTTTTCTAACAAGCTTTTCTTCTGAATTCTTCTTTCACCTTGAGATTTTCAAAATTTGTGGTGAGTAGTTGAAGTCTTGACATTTTGACTTTTTATGTGCCTTCATGAGTGGTTTTTATAATGTTCCATGCATCTTTGGCCATAGGACAAGTGTTTATTAACCTGAATATAATTTGGTCAACCCCATTGAACACAACATTCAAAGCTTTGGAGTTCCCATCTTTGTAGTAGTGTCCTTCCCATCTTTGTCTATCAACACAGGATGAACCCAAACCTTTGACAACAACTTTCCAGGTTTTTCTAATAATAAATTTTAGAAAGGCAAGCATACATGCTTTTTAGTAGTCATAGTTGGTGCCTTCCAACATGGGTGGTATGTTAGTATTTCCTTCTTCCTTGTCCATAATGCCCGAAAATATCTTCCCTGTAGCTCACCCAAAATAGAATAGGGTGCCTGCTCTTATGCCAATTAAAATTCTAGCACTTTACTAAATAGATGCCGAATACAATGTTAAGACATCATAGACCAGACAGTTAACCAAATAAGAAATAATGCAGGAAGGAAAAACACAGTTCAATTGTTTACCCAGTTCGGTGCAACCTCACCTACATCTGGGGGCATCCAAGCCAAGAATAAAATCCACTATAATAATATTAGTTTGATGTTCTAAACAACCTCTGTTTTACACATTTCTCACCTAATTACTACCCATGCAATTTCCACCTAGAACTCCTAGATATGAGACCCCTTTGACTTCTCCTCAGTCACACAATAATGACAATTATAACAAAGACAATAAAAATAGAAGATACACTTCCAATTAAACAGAACACACTACTGCTTCACAGTTTATGAGTTGTTCGCAAATTGAAACTCAACTAAAGAGTCTAACTCATGTATCAACAAGATACAAGAGTGGCTCACAATGAACAATGAACAATAAAAAGACAAAACCCTAAAGTTTATACTCTCATATGCAGCTTCATAATTCTTTAGGTCTAGAAAGCTTCTTTTTATAGTCACAAAAGCGCTTGGGCTTGGATATTAAATCTGGCAAAACAATATTCTTTAAATCAAATCAAATCAAATCAAATCTTCAGGTGGAAAAAATATGTTCTCAATAATGTTTTGACATTCAATATTGAGAACTAAATATTTAGATATTTCTGGCTTGAAATAAATCTTCAGAGAATCAAATATCCAAATGCATATCTTGGTCCACAAGGAACAACAACCAAATCTTCTAAACCACAAAATAGGAAATGTTACAACTGCAATGTCGTACCAACATGTCGAGACATCTTTTCCAACATCTTGTTGAATTAGTTGTTTTAACAAAATGCAGTCAACAAATCAAAACCTAACAAGAATGTTGAACCAGTGCAACCTAAGGACATGTACTCTAAAAAAGGTGAAAATAAAACAAGACCATCTGACGTGACATAACATGTCACCAAGCCCCCAACAGAAAAGCAAGAGAGGACTACCGAGTCCTTTCCAAAACTGAAAGCAAAATACAAATCAGATGGTTGTTTCAGACAAGAAGGTTGGATCAAAGGGTACCCCAACCAAGGCTAAGAAGAAGGAGAAAGGCATGAAGAAGGTCAATTAAAAAATATAAAATGAGAGGAAAAACATCGACCAGCAAGAAAAAGAAACATACTTCAGGCCTAACTGGTATTTTCAACCCATCATCTTTAGTTTCTTGCAAGTTATTTTTTGTTTTCTGATGTGCCAGAACTCATCAGGCTAACAGTGAGGATATTGTCCTTACTTTAAGTTTGGGAGTGAAGGCACATGCTTTAGTTTTTAATTTCAATTTCAATCAAGTTAGCTTGTACCAATTTCAATTTTAATCAATGAAATATTTGTGTTTTGATGTTTATTTTGAATAAAAAGAATAGATAGATAAATAATAATAAAAAAAGAAAATACTCAACTTCATCTAAAAAACTAGAATTTATAAAAAAAAACTTAGGAGACTTCTAATTATACCGCGGACAATATTGAAAATAAGGTATTGATAAGAATCAATACACAATATTTATGACTTAATGATGATCCCTGTCGCACCAGAAGAAGTCAGAAAAATAGTTAGCCTCTTAAGAAGTTTGAATTGTTCTAAAATATAGAAAAAGACTCGTTATAAGATTTAGTTTATGGGAGAAAAAAACTAGAAAGTAAGGCTATCCAATGGATCTACTAAATTTACTATTGCATGCTAAAAAAAGAAGATAAAAACATACAAAGTGTGCAAAAAGAATGAAAGTTTCAAAGAGAAATGTGAATAAAGTTCTTGTGCCCGCAACTGAAAGAATAATAGATGTCTTCACCATTAGTAACATGTTAGACTCATTACAAGTGAGATCCTGTTAGATAAAAAAGTAAAGCATCTAGAAAAGTTACTAAAAGAAATGATACAAGTAGAATCCTCAAGTTCAAAATGAACAAAAAAGCCAAAACAACAAGTTAGTTGACCCCCCTACTAAAACTGAAAAAATGAAACTTGAACCATAGGATTGAGTAACCAAACTTGAATTTATGCTAATTATCTTGAATGAAAAATTCTAGCATGACAGACAATATTATAAGACACAAACACACACGCGTTCACGTGCGGACACACACTAACAAGGCTAAAATGTAACAAAGATCTAGTTGTGTCAATTTTTAGATGTGTTCTTCTTAGAAAAATCATGAGTTAAATGAAATGTGCTATTGGATTAAGAGATGAATGAAAGTATTATTTTTTGGATATTATTTTTTTGATATTATCTGTCGTTTCACCTGAGAACATATAATGATTCAAGTTTTAGAGTGTAAAAACTCACTATGTGTGAGGTATTCAAGCCCTTAACACTCAATTTTATTTTTGTCATTAAACCAGTTCATTAGGTTAATTAATTTAAGTTTATTTTGTTATTTTAAGTAATTATGTGAAGAGCATATTAGGTGATCTCTTTTGTGAGTTTCATGTGATTCTCACATGTGTAGGAAAATTCTTACACTTTTATCTGGCAGGACAGAGAGAGGCATAAAGACAAATTCGAACAACTGTGACGTAATCATCAATATGAAAGCACCAACTACGAAGAAAGATGTAATGAAGTTAAACGAGAAGCTCACAACCTTAAATATTTTCACCTTGAAGTTAGGTCAGCATGCTCTATCGTTTTGTTAGTATCTAAAGAAAGAGTCATATTTTAATTGGACCCAGAAATGTGAACATGCGTTTGTGTTGTTGAAAAATAGTCATATCTATCCTGTCAGATTATTCAAACTAATGGTAGGCAAAATTTTATTCCTCTACTTAATTGTCTCCACTAAAGCAGCCATTGTCGTCCCTTCCAAAACATGCGCTAACCAGAATTTGATATACTTCGTATCTAAATCATTGATCAGACCAGGAACACATTATCAGAAGATAGAGAAGGTGACATTGACATTGGTTACTACCTCCCATAAACTACGATGTTACTATAGCACACGCTATCGTTGTCCAGACATACGTACCACTTAAACAAGTCCTTTACATATCAAATTTGGTAGGACGACTGACCAAATGGTCTATTGAGATGATTGAATTCGACGTCTCCTTTGAGCCTATGAAAGCGATGGAAGTTTAAGTGTTCACCGACTTCATAATAGAGATGACTCTGGTAGCTTCAAAACCATCCAGCACTAGGATCGTATTCACAGACGGGTATCTAAATCATTGGTCAGACCAGGAACACATTATCAGAAGATGGAGAAGGTGACATTGACATTGGTTACTACCTCCCATAAACTACGATGTTACTATAGCACACGCTATCGTTGTCCGGGCATACGTACCACTTAAACAAGTCCTTTACATATCAAATTTGGTAGGACGACTGACCAAATGGTCTATTGAGATGATTGAATTCGACGTCTCCTTTGAGCCTATGAAAGCGATGGAAGTTTAAGTATTCACCGACTTCATAATAAAGATGACTCTGGTAGCTTCAAAACCATCCAGCACTAGGATCGTATTCACATACGGGTCATCCAACAATAGAAAAAGTGGTGTCGGCCTCAAATTAATGAAGTTGGTCCGGTAATTAAGACATTCATACGCTTTGAGTTTCTCACTACTAATAACCAAGGTGAGTCTGATGCCTACGTCCCCAGTGTCACACTAGTAGCAAAGATGACAATAGAGAATGCTAAGTTGTGAACGCAATGGTACTACAAATCAAAAGATTATCGCAGTTTAAAGATTCCTTGTTGACCATCATGCCATGTCAATTCAATGAGACGTCTTTATTAAAAGTTAAAGTCACAAGAGTTTCCACGTTCAAAATGAATATATTCTCAAAACCACAATGTTGCAGATTTGAGGTCATTCGTAACATGCTATGCAAACTCAAACAAATCATCCATAAGTAAGAAACTCTAAATAAATCTTCCAAGTTCAACTTAAAGTGTGTTATGGTAACTAATATTAAATTATTATTTGCATAGATTATATTTAATTTATCTTTTCATCTTTAATAAAAAGTTCTGCAACACGGTTTATCATCTTTAACAAGAATTCAGGCTTTTCCCCTTGACAAGTCAAGCAAACCAACTTTAACCAAAACGGCTTTGACTTTAACCGAAACAGCTTTTGACAGAGGGGTGAATGTGCCTACTTTCATCTAGCCAACAAATGAAAAACTCCACGGTTCTTTACTTAAAAAGGTACAACTATAATAAAATAATCTGACACATATGCAATGCAGTTGTGCAGTAATTGAATTGGACAGAGAAAGAATTTTCCATTCCTATTGAATTCATATACCTAAAACTTCCCTATTTCTTTCAAGTAACTACATCAACTAATAATTCAATTACTATCAACATACTCCTAGTGTCTGTCATCTAGAAACACCATAAACTCCACAATTAAAAACAGATAAACGTGAAAAACCTAATGCATTATATACAAAATCACACACTGCTTCTAGCACATTCTTTACATCTGATAACTATAACTTGAATACCCAAATGTACCCATTGGATCTTGAAAATTGTTTGATGGATAATGCTGCGTTTCTTGAGACTGTTGCATTGAACCACCACCAGGAGGAGGAACCCAGTTCTGATCAATAGGGGTAGGAGCAGAGTTACTGTCTACAGAAGTAATGTCATGAATACTTGATCTTTTCCGCTCTTTCTTCCCCGAGTTCTGGCGAAGAAAGTACTTTTGAGCATGGCTAGCTACCTGCGTTGGTGTTCTTGTCACAACAACATTTCTTGATATGCTTCTCCAATCACCTTTTCCATACTTGCTAAGCCCAATAAGAAACAACCTGCCACATATAACATACCAGATCGGCTACCATGTAAGAAATCATTATACCTTTCTCTAGAACCTACACCTCTAAGCAAAAGTGTTTCTAGTGCCCAATGCATATCATTTTCTGTCAGCGACACATGTGATGATATTTAATTTGTTCAATTTTTTCAAATTATGACCTATATTGACGTGTCAGTGTCGTGTCAGCCTTATGCATGATGTGTCAGTGTCGTTTGAGACGCCCATATAACAATTCATCTGAACCATGTCATGTGTCACTATCGATAGTGTATATACATGTGTACCACCGTATTCATCTGAACCATGTCATGTGTCACTAACGATACGGTACATACATGTACCGAATTCATGCATGTACGGTATTCATACAAACATGGTACATGTACTTAGCTGTTTGGCAACTATACTTATTTTTCATATGAAATTTCAAAGTGTAAACCATCTCCAAATGCATGGCTAGCAATGCACTTATTTGCTTATAAATAATTTCAACATTTTCTTTGCTTTTGATTTTAATTTAAGTTTCTTAGCAACCAAATTCAAGGTAGTTAGATGATTCCATGCAAAGAAGCACTTATTCAACAGATTTTCCACTTCAAATCATCATATAAAAAACTAACATTTCAAATTTCAAAAAATTAATAAACAATTCATAAACCCCGAAAAACAGATTAAAAATGAATTTTTTATTCCCATTTCATAAAACCTGTGAAAGAAAAAAATAGCAAAAATTCCCAAAATGAAAACCTAAATTGAATTGAAGTGAAAATTTTCAGATACCTATGTTCTTCTTCACTCCACGGCGTTCCTTTCTTCCTCTCGTTATCACCACCGCCATGTTTAACCTTGGAACCAAACGAAATTTGATTAGAAGAATCCCATTCATTCAACCCCGCACCACTCACCGCCGATTCATCAGAGTAACTCGGAACCTCAACCCTACCGGAATCAATCTCCAACACATCATGAACCAAAGCCTCATAGTGATCCCTAACTTCCGCCGCCGACTTCCCCGGAACTTGCTCAGCGATCTTCTCCCACCGGTTCGGCAAATCCTCCGGCACGATCAAAAGAGCTCGCTCGAAGAGCTTGTCGTGGTCACGAGTCCACTGAGTTTGATGACTCGCCCACCGCGTCGTGGCGGCGGACACGGCGATTGCCTCCCGAAACATCTTCTTCGCTGTCGTTTTGTTAGTTTGTTAGTTCAATTCCAAAGGTATGACGATTTTGTTTATTTCGTGTTTGGATAGTTAAAAAGAGAGGTGAATAATCGCTTTCTTTGAGATTTTCGCTTCTGCGTTTGGTGGAAGAGTTTTAGATTTTAGATTAACGCGTTTAGTATTTATAGAAGAGTGAAAAAATAACGAGAAATTTGGTGTAAATTTTTTAATAATTTATATCATTGGGATGAAAAAGCTATTTTAATTTTTAGGTTGAAGTTGGGAAAATCTGCTTTGGTGGGACCAGCTCATGGGTATTCAATAGCAACACGTTTTTGCTATTTTTGGATTTTTCTTTACTTTGTTTCTTTCTCAAGTTTTCTAGTTGTACAATGCATAGTGAAATCAAGACACCATTTTTATTTATTTTTGGAAAATAATCACAATTAATCACCATTCTATTTTTTTTAGAGAATCATTAATTTTTGATAAATTTAGAAGAAAAATATATCATTTCCATGTTTTGGTTGCTACTACCAATACACCTCATTTAAAATTTAATTTATTTTTTTTAGATTTAGTAAATGTACAAAATAATATGACATTGCATGATTTGATGATGACTGATGATAATATCCAATTAAATTTTAATTACTCGAGTGTTTTAACTTTTAAAACAAATTTAAATTTAATGACTATGAAATATTATTACCAAAATATTTTAGATAATCAACCAATTATATCTAGATTCTTCAAAATAGTTTAGATTCTTTTCAGTTATTTTTAAAAATAATATGAAGAGTAGAAATGTTAAAAATTATACAGTTTGATTCGATTTGTGATATGTATTTAGTTCAGATGTGTTTGAGTCATCTTTTAATAAAATTATACGGTTTGATTCGATTTGTGATTTATATTTTTCAAATCAAAATAAAGTGAATCAAACTGCATTATGATACAACATAAATTTACTTAATTCACATCCAGCTCAAATCTTATTTTTCCATCCTTACATTTATGATTTACATTTATGTTGTTATTTATACGTGTATTTATTCAATAAAATATTTGTGAAAAATCGAATTAATAGAATTGAATCAAACCACATTAACTTGATTTTATTCGATTTTTAAAAAAAAATCAATCGAACCAAATTCAACTGCACTATTTTTATCTTATAGTTTGAATAATTTTTACCATCAAAACCACTTAAACCGTGTCGCGAACACTTCTAATGAAGAGTGTGTTCTTTATAAATAAATAAATAAATGAGAGACTTATTTTAAATTTTTTTAATGATATCATTTTTAAAAAATACTAAAAATATAAAGTTAGTTTGAGTAAATTTTTGTAAAAAATTTATTAATAAGGGACTTTTTTAAAAATTTATGAATTTATTATGTTAAAATCTCTAACAATAAATATTAATTGAATTAAATTGGAATATATTGATAATATAAAAAAAAATTATATCATCAGTAAATCACAGCGGTTAGATTATAAATTATATTTAATTTTTATTTTAATTATTTATAAAATAGTATTTATGAGTAATTGTGATGTAGTGGCTATATAAACTTTTTTCCATCAACATTATACAACAATTAATCTCATATCAATTGGTCTTCTTGTCGTAAAAAGAATTAGTCTTATAATTTAATAGCATATGTATTTGAAATAATTTTAAAACTTTTTTTTTAAATAAGCTATCATAAAAATTAAAATTTTAAATATACAAGTATTATTTTTTTAATGTATAATAAACAGACCATTGTGATCTTATAAAAACTTCTAAAATAATATTTTAATGATTTAAATATTACTAATTTATTATATTTAAAATTTTGAAAATTTATCAACATCTCTACATATAGGTTTAAGTATGTCAAAATACATTATCATAAACAGATTTTTGATTTTGCGGGTAAGCTGAACAGTCACCTACTCTTTTTGTGTTACTAAAATCGTAAATGACAGTGCAACTCAATTGATAGTTGTGATGATATTTGATATGTTGAGAAGCAAATTCAATCTCATATTTAAAGTGTGTGATTTTCACCACTAAACTATTTAAAGAAACTATATATTTAGTCATTTAAAACTCTCCCCTCAAAACTCCTACATCCAAAAATAGGATTAATATTTACCCCCCTCTCTCTCTCTCTCTCTCTCTATATATATATATATATATATATATATATATATATATATATATATATATATATATATATATATATATATATATATATATATATATATATATATATATATATATATATAAACATGCATAAAATAAATTTGGTGAATCAATGGTAAAAAGTGATTGATTGGGGAAGATGAAGTTTAGAGAGAAATTAAAAATTATTAGAGAGTAATTGAGGAGAAATATCAAAATTGACATTAACTAACTCAAATCATTACAATAGATATTTATAGGCCACACAAACAAGGTGGAACCAAAACAGGCCCAAAAAAGCTAAAAAATTTCAAACTGTCGCAGTAGAAATTGATTTCTCCAAACAAGGGAATCGATTTCTTGAACTAAAAGTGCAACTTCCAGAAAATCTCAACGGGTGGAAATCGATTTCCCATTTTATGGAAATCGATTTCCTCTGCAACATCCAGATTTTTTATTTCCATAAGTGCTTCTCAAATAAGTTGTTTTGACGAAACGACTCCTGAAGCTTTCAGAATGCAGTTGAATTATTATCAACTTCCAATACACCACCTTAGGATAACAAGGTGGTGCAGGCCTCCTGAAGTTAGGATAACAAGGTCACTCATCTCAAATTCTTCCATAAGCTCACTCTTGAACTTAGAAATATTCACTTCATTGTTGCCTGTAATCAACAAGTCGTCCACATATAAGTAAAGTATGATCACATTTTTGCTTGCATCCGTCTTCACATAAACACCATGTTTGGATACACACTTCTTGAAGCCAACCTCAACTAGAAAAGCATTGATGCGTTATTTCCAAGCTCTAGGTGTTTGTTTCAAACCATAGAGTACCCTTCTTCAATTTGTAGACTCTTCCTTCTTGATTCTTCACCATAAAACTAGGAGGATACTCTACATAGACTTCCTCCTCAAGTGGACCATTCAAAAATAGAGATTTTACACCCATTTGATATATTTACCAATTGTTTCTATTCACAATACCAACAACCATCCGTATAGTTTCTAATCTAGCCACAAGTGCAAACACCTCATCATAGTCTATATCTTCTCTTTGCAACAATCCTTTCGCAACTAGTCAAGCCTTATGCTTAAAATTTTCACCTTTAGGATTTTCCTTCACTTTATAGACCCATCTCACACCGATTGGCTTTTTACGTTCTGGTAAATCGACCAACCCCCAAGTAATGTTTTTCTCAATCGATTTCAGCTCCCCCTTCATCGCACACACCCACTTTGAATTGCTTAATGCCTCCTTCGTGCTCACGGGCTCAGATTCAGCCATAAGCGCAAAGTGAATAAGATCACCTTTATTGTTGATCTCATTATCATGGAATACTTCACAATCTCGGAGCCTATGAGGTAGACCTTTGTGTCTTGTTGTCCATCTACTGGATTCACCATTTTTTATCTGAACCGGCTGCTGCACAGGACCTGCAGAACCCAAATTTTCTGCATTTTCTTGTGTAAATCGATTTCCAGAATTTGGGGAATCGATTTCCGCTTCTGAAAATTCAGTTCCAGCAACTTCAGGATGCAAAATACGCGAGGGAAATCAATTTCCTTCATCTAGGGAATCGATTTCTGCAATTGATATACCTTTTTTTCTACTGTCAAACAACCTCAACTAGTCCACGACCACATATCGACTTATCACAATCTTCTTGCTACTCATATCAAACTACTTGTAGCTACTGTTAGGATGATAACCAACAAGTAAGATCATCTCTCCTTTGTCATCTAACTTCTTTCGAAGCTGACCCCAAATATATCAAAATGCTACCGAACCAAAAAATTTCAAATGACTCAAACTTGGTTTAAGTCCATACCATACCTCTTCTGGAGTTACTTTGTCCAACTTCTTAGTAGGGAACCTATTAAACAAATAGGCGGCTGTAGACACAACTTCACCCCATAGTTATTTCGGCAAGCTTTTTCCCTTCAACATGCTACGAACCATATTCATTATTGAACAATTTCTTTTCTCGGAAACACCATTTTTTTAGGCGTATAAGGTGGCACAACCTCGAGTATTATACCCTCAACATCACAATAATTCCCAAAGTCACTCGAGGTATACTCACCTCCACCATCGGTTTTGAGAATTTTCAACTTGTGACCACTTTGTCGCCCCGCCATGGATTTAAAACGTTTGAACACATCAAACACCCCATCTTTCCTATTTATTAGATAAATCTATAGCTTTCTACTAAAATTGTCAATAAAAGTGACAAAGTAATTATTTCCACCATACGAGTCGACTTGCATTGGACCACACACATCAGAGTACACCACCTCAAGATGATGTTTGGTCATATGACCCATATCTTTGCTGAAAATATTCTTGTGTTGCTTCACTTGAACACGCTCTTCACAAATCTCAGCTGGAACATTGATCTTAGGAAGCCCGGTCACCATACCATTCCTTTGTAATGCATCGAGGTCTCGAAAATTGAGATGTCCAAGACGGTAATGCCACAACCACTCATCACGACTTTCCGCTGTAGCAAGAAACTTGTGCTCCGTCACTTTCAACTCTATCTTTAAAGTATGCTTTGCAGCCATGGGTGCTCTAAGAATTAAAACTCCATTTCGGTCTAAAACGCGTAAAATCTTATTTTCCATGCGAATTATGTAATTATTCTCAAGTAATTGGCCAATGCTCAAGAGGTTATGTTTAATTCTAGGAATGTATAACATATCATTGATCAAGGAGTGACTTCCATCCTTCTTCATGATCAAAACATCACCCACACCATCGGCCGCTAAAGTGGTGTCAACCGCGAATTTTACTATATTCTTCGTGGCTTGATTGATTTTGACAAACCAATCCT